CTTCAACATCACCACTGTTTCTCTGAAAGCTTGATTTAGAATAAAGCACTATTATGAACACAACAAGGCTGTAAATTGGACCACTGATCAATGAGTTTTCCTTCTCGCCCAGATGATATTTAAAGTCCCCGATAACTTCTGTAGGCCCATTTAGCAACTTGTCAGCAACCACATTTTTCAAGACAAATAAAAGGTTCAAAAAAATAATGAGTGTGGGGTATTACGGATGTTTTTCATGTTGTAATATAAAACGTGACAATGTAGTGAGCTTGTGTTAACCACAGGCCTTATTTTGGGCATTTGAACAAAAACAAAAACTAAAATATTGTTTTCAGGTTCTGGCCTACAAAAATACGTCATCCCTGCAGCACTCTATTCTCGTTCTTAATGTGTTGATTCATTGCAGCCTTTTGTGGTAATAATTATGTATAATTATGAACAGTGTTGGGAGTAACGCATTACAAAAGTAATAATATTTGACTCTGATGACTTTCTGATTCTGATCATTTTTCATTTTCATCAGGGACAGCAGGGATGAAGTCTTAGAGCACGGTGAGTTATTTCATACAGCCTCTGGTTGTTTTAAATGTGCTTAGATATAATAATTTCAGTACTCTTTCCTGTGTCTGTGAAATGTTACTGCATGTCTTGTAGAGCTGATGATTGCAGATAGACATCAGAAGCGTGAGATCAGACAGCTGGAGCAGGAGCTTCCTCGCTGGCAGGTGTTAGTGGACAGTATCACAGGTCAGATTTATTTCACTTCATCTTTTTGTATAGTTATCAGAAGAGTGATTGCTGAATGTGATTATGTGATATGATTATTACAGGCATGAATTCACCAGACTTTGATAATCAGACGCTGGCAGCTTTACGTGGACGAATGGTCAGATATCTGATGAGATCTAGAGAGGTCAGTGACCATTTAATGTCATGCATGCACAGGAATATCACTCACTTTGGTATCTGTGAAATAAACACATTATGTACTTAAAGGCTATTGGAATAACTTTGTGTATATGAATGACAACCTCTCAGCCATTGTGGTGAGAAAGTGAACAAAATATTGGTTGCACTTCATAATAATAGTAACAGAAGGCATGGACTAAACATGGGTTTAGGTTCTGGTTTAGTATATAGTTATTACTAGGGGTGCAACCGTTCTCGGTAAAAGACCGAACCGTACTGTCCACTAGGGTTGTGATCGTCTATCGCGGCAAGCCTACTGTTCGCCACCCTCGGTTCGATACGCATTTGTACCACGATTAATCTCAGTTCTAACAAAGGATATGGATGATATGTTTTGTCGAAAAAACTAAACTTCAAATACACATTTGGAGGAACAACTTTGGCTATTGCACAATACAGGCTTTTCACAGTTTCTTGCTTTGATATTTAGGTATCAAATGCAACCTAGTTATCTAATGCAATTTGAGGTACATATGTTTCTAAAGGAATAGTTCACCCACAGATGACCGATAACAAACTCGTTTGAACTGTTTCAGATCACACTGGGACGTGCTACTAAAGACAAGCAGATAGATGTAGATCTGTCTTTGGAGGGACCTGCATGGAAGATCTCCAGAAAGCAAGGTTGGGCGGTTGAACAGCATTATTCCTGATGCAAAGTGTGCTGTGTGATCAGTGACATAGTGACTTATCTTCAGCTTCCATTAAACAGTGCACTTTCTTCAAGTGTCCAGGTGCCACTGGCTATCGATTACAGCATCCCATTTAGGTTTACTGCAGTTGTGTCACAGATTTCTATTTACAATGAGTTTTTTTTGCAGCAGCATTGAGCCTTGTAACTGGTGAGACATGTCCGTTAAGCATGTGAATCAGAAATGCTTAAACGAGTTCAGAGTCCATTCAAATGAAGCATGGCTCTTCAGCAGTACTTCCTGTTTGCAATTTTGAAGTCTGCTTATTGGATCAATAAAGGGTAGATGGTGTATTAAGTGACCCAGCATTCATGTATGGAAAGATTACGGACCTTCTGGCTAAATTAAATGTTTTAGTACAAGCTAACTAGTTGTTACTAGGCCACTAGCAGCTAAGATGCACGACTGATGCAACACTGCCCAGCTGTATAGATTTCATTCTAAACTTTTGAAGCTTTGAATTATCACCAGGACTTTTGAGCAGCATTGTGTAAACGGGATGCAATTTGAAATGAATGAAATAAGGTTTGTTTTTAAACTCCAGGGATCATTAAACTGAAAAATAATGGAGATTTCTTCATCGCTAATGAAGGCCGAAGACCCATTTACATTGATGGACGACCAGTTTTATCTGGAAACAAGTGGAAACTCAACAACAATTCTGTGATGGAGGTATGGACACGCTTGCATTGGAGTCACAAAATCACTGTTTGGAAAAATCACAGCTGTCAAAAAATTATGATTTACCTCATTTACACTGCATATTTTCATATGGTATATAGATAAATGACTTTTGTATGTCTAAACCTTATCAGTATATAATGTTTACAAAATTTACGACCATTTTATAAAATTTCAAGATCATTTATTGCATAACAAATACATAAAACAAATTGTTCTTCCAAAAAATTCTATAAATTGAATTGGCATAGAACTAGTTCATACACTAGTTTTATGAAAGACAGCTCACATTTTGCCTGAGAATATAACATTGACATTTCATAACTAGGGGTGCAATATGTATTTGTTTTTATGTTATGCACAGCTCGAATATATTTTGTCAGCTATAAATATTTTGTCAGCTCTTTGTGTGTAATCTCTGGATTTTAAAAAATTTTTTTATCTGACATGTACGGTGGCCGAGAAGTGCAAAGCAAATCACAATTCTGAAAACAAAATAACAAATTACAAACGCAAATGCAAGTCTAAAAAACATAATAACAATTCAGAAAACACAACAACAATTCAGAAAACATTATAACAAGTCAGAAAACACAATATGACAAATCCGAAAACAAATTAACAAGTCAGAAAACAACGACAAATCAGACAAACCGGAACTGAGAAATCATGGAAATTCATTTGTCAAAGGGGTAGGAACACTAGTATTTATTTATTGCCCCCTGATTCATTTTTGTATACAGTTCCAGAATATTTATTGTATTAACTCCTAAATATCAGAGAACGGTTTCTATCACATTCTCCTCTATGTACAGACAGTGTATCAGCTGGTATTATGATCAATCACCAAAAAAAGGAATTCACTTAAAATTTTTATGGTGGAGGCCAGTAGTATAATTTTTTCAACTGAATCACATCAAGATTTCTCAACAGCAAAATGTTTGCAAAAATAATGACAAGTCAGGGTCATGTGTTCAGCCCTGTAAAAATGGCTTTCTAGCTCTTGGTTTCGGTTAGACCACAGATGTCAAGTTTGAGGCCTGCAGGCCCAAACCAACCCGCCACCTCATTTCGTGTTGCCTGTGAGTTAATTTCTGAAACCTATAAATGAAACGTCTCCGTTAATGCTTTCCTTGTGAATATGAACCCGTTTGATGCATATGATCACACCGGTGTGTTTAGAATGTTCAGTTCATGACGTGATCTAATGCTAAGATAGAACTGACCAGTCAGTCCACAATTCCACAAGCTGTCGTTATGGCAGACTGGCTTCAACATAAGATGTTTTTAGACTAACAGGAAAGTTTTGAGTTCTGAAACTTACAGGATGTTTTTATAGTACAATGACCTCTTAAATGTCAAAAGATTAAGGGAATTTTGATTTCTCAGTTGGCCCCTTTAAAATAAAACAGCTGGTATTGTTTCATTTTTATAAAATGTTAATCGCACTCATACTGTGAAACTAATGTACTGAAGATAGCTGTTTTGTGCACCAGCAGTGTGTCATTACATATTGTTTTTACAATAATCAATAAAATCAATGAAATTTACTGTTACATAAAATGTCAAGATGTTGTACCGTACCCTTTATCCTAATAATGTTATTGCATATAACATGCTCAACAGTTGTATACAGAGTTAAGGAATGAAAAGCTGGTCAATAAAGCACATCAGTGTTTGTTTTGTCCAGATTGCAGGTCTTCGCTTTGTGTTCCTGATCAACCAGGAGTTGATTTCTCTCATTAAAGCCGAAGCTGCCAAGATGAACCAGGCATGATGCTGACTCACCTGTTCATGAGCTGTCAAACACCATTTAGTCTGACACTGACGCAGCAAGACGGGAGCTGTACTGTCCTATCTTTATCTCTGAGCAGAGTCATACACAGAAGACCTTTCAGCATGAGATTATAGAGGCTCATAGCAACAGCTGAGGCGGGATCTGGAGCTCAGATTGAAGGAAAATCATTTGGAAATGAATTGGACATTTTACATGCCTGTTATTTAAGGCACATTTGGACAGAAAGAACTGACTGTTTGAGAGCATTGTTTGTATGTGTGTGTAGATTTGCTTTCTTTTTTTTTTAATTTGTGTAAGAGAAACTGTTACTGTTTTGTTGACTTGTATACTTTTTGTTTGTTTATACTTCAAACCCAGTGACCTTGTATTGTCTAAGCAAAGACAGTATGCTAATGTTCTGCCATGACAGAAATAGTGTAAATATATTCATAAAGACTGATTAAAACAGAAAAGTGTTTTAAAGTCATTAGAAAAGTATAGTAATGTGAAGGGAAGATTTTAGAGTCAGAGTGGCAAACTTTGGCCCTTGACATGAACTATTGTTGCAAATCCAGAGTGGATACAAGTAAACGGCAATACCTAAAAATATATTTAAAGTAAAGATTCAGATCGAATTATAATGTACAATTAGTAACTATACTACAGGTCAAAATTTTTGAATATTAAAGTTTTTATACGTGCGTTGTTAGGCACGACGCGAAGCGGAGCTGTTATAAATTCACTGTAAACCACGGCTTCACAGGGCTTATTGCTTTTATAAAACGGTTATTCCATATACGTAGTAAGGTTTCACAAAATAAAACAGAGCAAATAAAGTGTGAATACATTAATAAAAACATTATTCTTCCACCAGACAATGAAGTTCCTCAGAAACAGTTGTGGTTGCAACAAAGTGGTTGCCAAGCAACACACAAAGTAAACAAAGGTGTGTGTTTGTAGAGTAGTTTACAACAGCTTCGAACGCGGCTCAACCAATCAGAATCAAGGAACGGAACTATTGTTTACGTTTTATAAAATTCAGTAAAACAGTAAAATTACGAAATATTCTTACAATTTAAAGACTGGAGTAATGACTAATGAAAATTCAGCTTTGCATCACAGGAATAAATTACATTTGAAAATATATTCGAATAGAAAACATTTATGTTTTTTACTGTAATGTATTTATCAAATATTTGCGGACTTGGTGAGAAAAAGATTTTAAAAATCCTAACTTTTGACCTGCAGTATATGGTTTTTTTCTCCCTCTCACTGCACACAAAGTCAATTTCACAATGGTATTACAAGATAAGGTATTACAAGGCATAACCAGTGAACTAAGAGGAAATTGTGGTGCTTGAACATTCCAAGATGGAATGTTCCAGAAAATGACAAATGTGTGATAATAAAATTAGCTAAATTATAATTTTCTGAAGGAAATAGCCATGTTTACTGCAAATTAGTCTGTTTGTTAGTTTTAGGTCATATGATTTACAAAAGCAGAAGTCAGTCCAACAAAGGACACCCAACTGACATCAGCAGTTGAAGCCGACTGACCACTTTGACATCAACAATCAGATAAGACTTGATTGATTCAAATATTGGGAGAAAGGTTACTGAATGTATGTATATTATATAAATATAATCTGAAAATCTGGGCCCGTATTCACAAAACATTTTATCTTAAAGTTTTTAGCTAAGAGTTTTCTCTTAAAACCTATTCACAAAAAATTCACAAACATTACTGTTTGGTGTCTTGTTTACAACAAGGCTCTAGCTTCATAGTTTTATTTCTAAGAGATTTTCTTAGAACTGTTTAACCTTGCTGCCCCTCTTCTTATGTGCAAATACAGGTGCATCTCAATAAATTAGAATGTCGTGGAAAAGTTCATTTATTTCAGTAATTCAACTCAAATTGTGAAACTCGTGTATTAAATAAATTCAATGCACACAGACTGAAGTAGTTTAAGTCTTTGGTTCTTTTAATTGTGATGATTTTGGCTCACATTTAACAAAAACCCACCAACTCACTATCTCAACAAATTAGAATACTCCATAAGACCAATAAAAAAAAACATTTTTAATGAATTGTTGGCCTTCTGGAAAGTATGTTAATTTACTGTACATGTACTCAATACTTGGTAGGGGCTCCATTTGCTTTAATTACTGCCTCAATTCGCCGTGGCATGGAGGTGATCAGTTTGTGGCACTACTGAGGTGGTATGGAAGCCCAGGTTTCTTTGACAGTGGCCTTCAGCTCATCTGCATTTTTTGGTCTCTTGTTCCTCATTTTCCTCTTGACAATACCCCATAGATTCTCTACGGGGTTCAGGTCTGGTGAGTTTGCTGGCCAGTCAAGCACACCAACACCATGGTCATTTAACCAACTTTTGGTGCTTTTGGCAGTGTGAGCAGGTGCCAAATCCTGCTGGAAAATGAAATCAGCATCTTCAAAAAGCTGGTCAGCAGAAGGAAGCATGAAGTGCTCCAAAATTTCTTGGTAAACGGGTGCAGTGACGTTGGTTTTCAAAAAACACAATGGACCAACACCAGCAGATGACATTGCACCCCAAATCATCACAGACTGTGGAAACTTAACACTGGACTTCAAGCAACTTGGGCTATGAGCTTATCCACCCTTCCTCCAGACTCTAGGACCTTGGTTTCCAAATGAAATACAAAACTTGCTCTCATCTGAAAAGAGGACTTTGGACCACTGGGCAACAGTCCAGTTCTTCTTCTCCTTAGCCCAGGTAAGACGCCTCTGACGTTGTCTGTGGTTCAGGAGTGGCTTAACAAGAGGAATACGACAACTGTAGCCAAATTCCTTGACACGTCTGTGTGTGGTGGCTCTTGATGCCTTGACCCCAGCCTCAGTCCATTCCTTGTGAAGTTCACTCAAATTCTTGAATCGATTTTGCTTGACAATCCTCATAAGGCTGCAGTTCTCTCGGTTGGTTGTGCATCTTTTTCCTTCCACTCAACTTTCTGTTAACATGCTTGGATACAGCACTCTGTGAACAGCCAGCTTCTTTGGCAATGAATGTTTGTGGCTTACCCTCCTTGTGAAGGGTGTCAATGATTGTCTTCTGGACAACTGTCAGATCAGCAGTCTTCCCCATGATTGTGTAGCCTAGTGAACCAAACTGAGAGACCATTTTGAAGGCTCAGGAAACCGTTGCAGGTGTTTTGAGTTGATTAGCTAATTGGCATGTCACCATATTCTAATTAGTTGAGATAGTGAATTGGTGGGTTTTTGTTAAATGTGAACCAAAATCATCACAATTAAAAGAACCAAAGACTTAAACTACTTCAGTCTGCGTGCATTGAATTTATTTAATACACGAGTTTCACAATTTGAGTTGAATTACTGAAATAAATGAACTTTTCCACGACATTCTAATTTATTGAGATGCACCTATAAGACCGTAATTAGCTGGTTCAGCTGTGTTTAATTAGGGTTGGAGCTAAACTCTGCAGGACCGAGTTTGAAGACTTCTTGCATTGATGATTCCATGAAGAACTTGTAACCAGTGGTGTATAAAGTACCTGAAAGCCATACTCAAGTAAAAGTACAGATATCTTACCAGAAAAT